GGGGGGGAAGAGAGAGAGAGAAACTAGGGAGGGGGGAAGAGGGAGAACGGGGGAAGAGAGAGACTGGGGGGCCAGCAAGCCGGGGGTGGTAGTTGAGGGGGGGTGGAGGAGACAGGGGAACCGATGGGATGGGGGGAAGCTTACCTGCTTCTTCCTCCTCCGCTTGCTCTGTGTGGAGCTCCCCGCTCCTCCCCCCGCGATTTTTGCGGGTCCCCTTTCTTGTAATATTATATTTATGTAACAGATCTCCTGTTAGAAGTGGGTCATAAAAACAGCTTTAAAAGATGAAAGTATACAAGTTCATACTCCCCTAATAGTCTGCTGCTTTTCACTGAAACAAAATAGCTTCCCTATAGAACCTCCAATGTCTTTAACATTGAGGACCCTGACTGTATGGTAGGGCATATACTTTACATGCAAAAGTCCCCAGATTCAAAGTCCCCAGCATCTCCAGTTAAAGAATGCCAGGTAACAATTCTTTGGAAAGATCTCAACCTCACATATTGGAGAGCCATTGCTAATCACAGTACATAATACTGAGTTAGGTGAAGCAATCATGTAACTCAGTTTGGGGCAACTTTGTATATAGGCTATACTAATGGCCACAAGAATATATGGCTTTAAAAGGGTATAAGGCCTGTTCATGGCAGATGGAGCAACATCCTTATCCAGGATGCTCTACTGAATTTGCCAGATGTCTGTGATATGAGTGGGATGTACATCCAGAGCATGTTAGTTACCAAAATGCCAGCATGGAGTAAGCAATCCTAGATGATACTAGGAAGCTGATAAGAGATGTCATTTTTGATAGCACTTATCACATAATTTTAGTTCAGGCCTCCTTCACACGCTTGTCCAGTTCCATGTGGCGTTATTCCACACAGCTGTATATGTGATAATACTGCTGCTGGGAGAGCAGAGGCAGTTGCTCAGGTCTTTCCTACTCTTTACTGATTGGAAGACAAAGAACTTTGTACTTGGGCCCTCTCAGTAGGGATGCCAGCCCCCAGGTGGGACATGAGGATCCCCTGGAATTACAGCTCATCTACAAATGACAGAGATCAATTCCCCTGGAGAAAATGGATGCTTCGGAGGGTGGAATCTATGGCATTGTGCTCCATTTGTGTCCCTGTCCTCCCCAGGGTTGACGCCCCCAAATCTCCAGGAGTTTCCCAGTCTGGGGGCGTGATCACATGCAGAATTAGCCACGCCATCGGCGCAGATGCCGGGCGGATTTTAAGGGCGCGATGAGACACCAACATCTGCCAAATGTCCCGCTCCCATCGGCAACCCATTTTACGCCACTGCAGAAGTGGAGTAAAAAGACATCGGGGAAAACCCAGTAGCAAACGGGTTGACGTTTCCATTCCAAAGGAGAGTTTACTTC